AAAGCTTTAATTCAGCTGTATTTATGGTCTACCTTAAAGAAAATGTTGTTCTAGCAAATGAGTTTAAACAATAACCTTTGTAATTCAAAAGTTAGTCCTTTAAGTGTGATTAAAGGTATGGTTGTTTCTTTTTTATTTCTTATTTTCATTTTCAAACACTTATATGACCATTGTTAAATATCTCCAAAATGTATTTTGGTCAGAGCTTTCTGTTGTAAATCCAAAAGATACTGTACTATCTAGCTTTGAAAGGACTGTTTGAGTGTGTTATTTATTGTCAGTTTCATTTATACAGCATGAAAATAATATTAACATGCCATAGAATTCTGCAATTTTGCTGATCCATTTCAATTTTCTAAATTGCTCTGCAGGAAATATTAACTTTATTATGTTGACCCAGACTAAATTTGTCCTGAATCATGTATACCATTAAACTGAAGGTACCAGAATGCCACAGAATAATCTGGAAAAAGAAAACTTATTTCCTCATAAATGTCAGTAAAAGCCATTTGAGAGTAACAAAATAAACATGATTTACATATTCTGAGTGCTTAGTAGTTCAAATTGCTCAAAAGACTCCTCAGTTTCTCTGCCTATTTGTGAAAAATTATCCTTAAATTATATTGAAAACAGTGGGAAAATAGGCTTGAATGCCTCCAGAGGCCTTGCAACAGATGGATGCTAGATCAAAAGAATATGAACACTCTATTTCTCACCAGCTAAGACTCTTTCAATTTCAGTGGATCTTATGACTTCTGGGAAGAGCGTTGACTGCATGAACTTCTTGCATTACTGTTGAGGGACTCACAGGATGGGCCCTGGTCCATTATATTTATGAGTGAAGACATAGCCATGAAAATCTAGTGTTTGGTGTCAGGGTAGTGGGAACAGGAGCTTGGAAAACAAGGTAGGTGAAGGAGTGAGGAATCCAAGCGCCCAATGACACTGCAGCTGAAAGCCCAACGGACCTGCTCTGGAAAACAAAGAACCACGAAGCAGGGGGAGCTACTACTTGTGAGAGGAACAGAAAGCTGGACTATTTAAGGAGTGAGGTTCTCTCTTATTCCTGCCTCTGTCTGCGTCCTTGAATCTTGTGGCCTCCAAAAGATAAGGATATGGAATTTGAATGGACAGAGGATATGAAAATTGAGAGGAAGCTTTGGATAAGCTGAGGTATAATTTAAGTTATGGGTTATTTAGTCAACAGCCCCTTTCAATATCCAAGCCAACATCACTGAGAATCTTGATATGGTAACTGCTGTTTGAAATATGCCATCAAAAGCCAGCTCTGAGCACCCACATCCTTGTCATTACTTATCATGCATACTACCTAGAGAAACTTTAACAAGAACACAGTAGTCCTGTTGGTGGCCAATGTTGAATAAACATGATCCTTTGCCAATATAATCAATCCCAGATTTCATACTCCATAGGCCATGCCTCCTTTCAGCATCAGCATTTCCTCTTGTCTCATTGCACTAGTAAACTACTTGCGCCAGTGCAAGCTCATTTTCCTGCAGGACTGTGAGGTGGGACTCCCAGGGGAGTTAAAACCAATGCCTTCTTCATGTAGATGGCAACATAAACCCTGAATTAGAGCATAGGTCTGTGACTTCAGTGTAGTATAAATATATTCTAATGATTTATCATGTATTTGCTTTTCCATTTCACTTAAATAAAGCAGAACATTTGCTAAGCACACTCTGTAAATGTTAATATAAAATCCAGATGTCCATTTTGTCAGCCTACTGCCTTATACTGTATGTTTAAATATTGTAATTTGCTGCTGATTGGTTAGTTATTTCAGGGAACTACTTGTGCATGCAAGAGAGTGTATACTGTATTGCAGCTGCTGCAGTTAGTGGCCAGGTTCAATATACACACAGGTGAATGATTTAGGTTTCGAGAATGAAAAATAACACCAATATGTGTTGGTCTTTCACAGAACTGTGAACATATCAACTTAATATATGCAAATAGGTAATACATGAATATGCTACTGTTATTCTTTAAACAGTCAAATGGGATTTACTTTCATGTTTCAAGAAGTACTGCTGCACTGAGATGAAGCATAATGTTCCCAACTCTTGCCTCTCCTGCCAGCTATCTCCACTCCTGTTGTCACACGTTTGCAACTGCATTAAAGTTTCATCAGGGTGGTGTATATTAAGTTAAATATATCTAAATTATATCATTTTAAGCAAGAGAAAATTTGCCCTATGTCTCTTGTGCTGATGTTAAGTCATTCATTTTTCAAGTAAATTATGTTACTCATTTTTCATGTAATGGTCCAGTTCTGATGACTTTTCCTTGGAGAGGTTAATGTTGTTGACATTTCCAATGACAATTTTCCTGTTGGGTAGAAATGAGTGCTATTTACCATGCAGTTTCCACATGATTCATTCTCAAGAATGAAGCATTGCTCTCAAGGGTTCCAGCTGCACAGTAGCCACCAAGGCCAGTGCCAGTAAGTACAGTTTTTTATCTGAATTGGAGATGCCATCTATGGCAACTTAAAATTAATATTACATGGTAGTTGTGTCAAACATTTGCTATACCATGTTCTGTTCTTGCCTCAAAAACATGACCTTCACCCAGAGCATTCTAAACAAAAGCTAGGTCCTGCAGTCAAATACACCTCCACTGTTATTTGGAAGTGATGCTGGCACAACTTGATCTTAGTCTCAGATAAATTATTTATTCAGCAGTACGCCATATGAGGAAAGTTATGCAATACCTTATATCTTACGATACATTTTTAATGCTCTGCCAAATTTTGATCTTAGATATGTGTGAAAAAACTCATATTGCATCAAGTGAGTTAGTCAAAGCTAATTGCAAGAAATGTCATTAGGCTTTAACACATTGATGTCAAGTAGACTTGCACATGTATATCTAAAGAGAGGAAAGAATTTGCAAATTCAGGGTCAGATTGAATGATTCCCCACTGATTTTTATTTATTTATTTATTTATTTTTCTGGGCTGTTTCACACTGCAGAGTAATTCTGAGGTCAAATGATACATACTTGGTGATAACTATGCAAGGGACAATAAGTCCCTGTTGCAATAAGCTTTTTCAAAAGTAATTAACAATTTTCTGCTTTTGTCATGCAAAACATTTTGCTAAAAGAACTTTGCCAAAGTATTACATAGCTCCAAAACTATATCCACTCCATTTAAGACAACCCTTGATTTAAATCATCACTAGTGAGTACAGATTATTCTTTAAAGAGAGTACTCACTGGTGTAAATGGAGCAGGATTTGTTTATTTTCTTTAGAAATGGATTTTTAACTCTGCTTTAAAAGTAAGTAACTTTTTATAAAAGTATTCTAAAATCTATCTGAAATTGCAGAATCAAGAACGGATGAAGTTGGCAGGGACTCTGGAGCCACCTGGTCCCACCCCTGCTGAAGCAGGGTGCCCAGGACCACAGCCAGGCAGCTTCTGAAGGTCTCCAAGGTGGAAACTCCACAACCTCTCTGAACAACCTGTGCCAGTATATATAACTTAGAAGATAATAACTTGCAAGAACATAATAGATTAATATTAGAAATATTTTTAATAGTTGTTGTTTGTTGTTCCTCCTCCCTCGCCCTCCCAATTCAATTTCAAATTATTTCTATTTCTGATTAACAGCATTAAAAAAAAAAAAAAAAAAAAAAGGATCCCTGACTGTACCTTCAAGATTTTTGGTACATATACATGTGTGGGAGAAAGCTAGTTTTACACATTACTGCAACTTTGAGCTCACCTTGTTATTTGATCAACTTATTGTTCAATAGTAATCGGAAAAGGAAATCAAATGTTGGAAAGGAACAGAATGGAAAACAGGAATCAAAAACACTGTCACTGTGCAATGCTGTGGGGTTCTTACATCTTTAGTTTTGTCTGCATTTATGTTCCCTCCATCGGAAGGAGAATACTATAGCGGAGGAAAGAGAAGGAGAGCAAGAAAAGGAGGGCAAGATTGAAGTTTTGGATCAGTTTTTGTACTGTTCAAAACAAAAAAGGAACTTTTACTGCTAAGCAAAAGATAAAGGAAGGGATATGTAGTCCATTAAAATCAGGAGTGGCGTACAGCAGGGGATGATTTTTCATTGTCTTTCACTTTCCTACAAAAGCTGAAGTGAGTACCTTTAACCTAGAACACCAGAGATACTAAAAATTCAAATGCTGTAAAATGTGCAAACGTTTGGAAAAAATAGTGCGACAAAATGTGTAGGTAGTCATTAAATAAAAGACATTATCTCTTAGTGAAGAGGTTCTGGAGCTGCAAATTAGTGGAGTCAGTGGTTTAACCCTTTTTATTGCACTTCAACTGTTGACCACTCTCTATAGATATTACTGTATAGAAAAACAGAGTAGAGGGGTTTGACCTGGTACACTATTTCCTATGTTTACATTTAAAAAGTGTTGCTCAATTGAAGCCTTTCCCTGTAAATATCACTTGTCTAGGGGAGGGAGCAGTGTGGTAGTCTTCACAGGAAATGATACAAAGTACTGGGCCACCACTGCAGTATCACTCTGGTTTGAAATGCGAATTTAAAAATGTAAAAGAAAGACAACAATAAAATAACACAGAAGGTTTGATAAGATGAACTTATAAATCTCTATTTAAAAGATATTATTTTAAAAAAATAAAACTTTATCATATTTTCAGTCTTTGCAAGGGGATTAAACAGCACATCTGGGATTATTACGTTTGATTTCACTCATAATTCACCAAGCAGGAATGCAAAGTCTGCAGTGCTTGCTGATCTCAGAAAAGATTACATGTTATAAGGACTATCTGTGCAATGTTTTGGTCAGTGCAGCTGGATCCCTCCTTCTGTGCTGACAACACGCAAGCCACCAGTCAGGTACCACCCACAGCCTCTTAGAAAACCTCAGTGGCTGGAGGTCTGACTCAGCACGCTGGGTCCACAGCTGCTACCACTTGAGTGGAAATCCATCTGGGATTTAAATTGTCAAGGGCTTCCATCTCTCTGTTTCTCTTTCCCAGCAGTGGCTGTAGGTTTCTGTCCCTTGATGACATGATCTTCAGAGGCTTCTCCGGCTCTATCAGGATGATGCAAAACAATGCCATACCTCTTCTGGGGTGGTGCATGTGAGTGATGCATCTGCTTAATATGGGACTGCTGCCAGCCTGCTGGGTAGGTAGAGTCTTTGGTTACCTGCCTTTGGTTATCTGGTTACCTACACACTTTAACAAATACCTCTGAGAAATTGAGACACATTTGCAAAAACAACAGTTACACAGATTTTCCAATGATAGTGATCGCAGTACTGCATGGCAGAATGCAGTATGATTCTGAGACGCTAAAGGCTTAATACAATTACATTTTCTTTGTATATTATCACTTAACTTTTCCAGGTATCAGTGAACAAGTCTTTTCAGATTCCAAGATAACAGTATTAGTTACTGTTATTGACATGATAAACTATTAGCAAAAATTGTTCTCTCAATTTTGATTAAAAAGTAGTGGTAGATGAACAGAACTCTCATCCCTTCATTGGTTATGATCTCAGTATAAATTCAGCCTATTGACTCCAATTAGGGGTTTGAGATTTCTTGGGAACAGATGACATATTTATAACTCAATATGTTTGTCTCATCCATCTGTTCTCTCTTGGCAGGTTGTAAAATATTAGGGCACATATTGCCTTGTCTTTCTGTGTGCTGAACAGAATGGGGTGGGAACGGTTTCCTGCTCTAATTGGTATTTAGGTTTTTCCATTGTGTGAAACCTACATAATAGTAATTCACGTATGGCTTTTCAACCTTCTATAAACATATTTATTTCCATCCTCATCAAGACTCACCTCATCAGTAGAGAAAGACCACAAGCACTTTTGCAGATTAGAGCAGTATCAGACATGAAGTATTGGAACCTCTAAAAACTGGCAGTTTCCAAAACCATGCAGTTTTAAAGATGCATGGTAGTTCAGAACCTGATTGGTCATGAAATACATTTAGTGATAATGACTTCCTCAAGTAAGTCAATTAATGGATAAAGAAATTGTTAAATTTGCACAGATAGTTCTAATCACAAACTCAATCACTACAGGAATAGCCCTCAGAACAAAAAATGTATCTTTTTTTTCATCAAACTTGTTTCATAGTGTAATATATGTCACTTTTAACTGCTATAGCTAATGTAGGCCCATTAGACCCCACTACTGCATTTACTGTTGTTATTATTTATAATTCTCCATTTATGAAGTTTATTTTACCAACTGTAGTTATGTGGAAAATACAGGAGGTGTGGACATTCTGAAGTTTAAAAGCAAAGCTGAGGGAATAACAAAGTTGTAGAATATGCTGTAAATGCTGCTCCAGTTGGAAAGACTGAGAAGGCTCACAAAGCACTACAGGTTTTATGGAAATCAAATAAAAGATTAAAATATGTACTAACAGTCCTAGCAAAGATTATTAAGGTGTCAAGGGATGATATTGTTGACAAGGCATCAGGCCAAGCAATATTTGTCCAAAGCCGATAAGGATAGAGGGGTTAGAAATTGGAGGACCTTAAGCAGATATATTTTACATTTTTGATTAGTACAAGCAAGATCTCCAAGGACTGGGCCATGGTTAGCATAACCCCTTTATCGAAAAAGCAGCCCATGGATTTACTTAGAAATTATATGTCAGTGGCTTTAGCCTCATACGGGACAAAACTGTTTCAAGAGATCAAATAGAGATACCCTTGGAAAAATTGACAGCCTGAGAACAGCCACGTTCTCAGGAAGTGGAGATCATGCCTTAGCTGGTTGGAATTCTTGGTGGATATTATTACTGCAGAGGTGCAGGGTGATTTGCTAGAGTAGCAAAAATAAATAAATAATTTTCACTGTGGTTATTCAGGTATTTTGATTATATAAACATCTTGGATTTTTAAATCGATTTGGAAGACTTATTTTCTTCAAGAAAAGGTAAAACCACTAAATTAAATTAGAAGTGTTTCTTAGATTCTTAGGATTTCTAAATCACTACCAGGCTTAAGCCCTGCATTTAGGATTCATAGAATTGTGGAGGATTGAACACTGTGAAAAATAAATAAATAAAAGTGAAGAAGACTGTGAAGAATTTTTTTTCCCCTTGCAGTATTAAAACAAAGAACATTGCAAAAGTAACAGGAAGCAAAAAGAAAAAGTACTTTAAAACATTTTAGAGTTTCTCTAAACTGTATCCTGTCACCTGCAAGATCAAGCAGAGCAGCAGGAGGATAGTACAGTTCAGCTGAGTAAATGGAGGAGCATTAGTTTGGTTAACTTATTTTGTAAACATGAACAATGTTAAGTACAAGTTAAGAAAAGCTTACCAATGCTTTTGGGTAAGTAGGTTGGACATTAGAATCACCTGGAGATTAATGGTTTTGTTTTGGTTTTAGCGCATCCCCTGCTGATCTACTGGGATCAAGTGATTTCTTGCTTCCTTGTTAACTGCTGGTGGTGAAATATATTCAGGTATTTTCTTGGAGAAGTGAGTTATTAGATGATCACACAGGGAGGAGCTGTTGTAAGAGAGTAATGAGGTTATGGCTTCAAGAGTAACTTCTTCAGTAACAGTAAGCCTTGCAACTTGGATGATGGTTGAGATTTCATTATCACTACAAAATAGGTTAGACAGAAGAGTTAGCAAAATGAAAAAAATTTATATGAAAACTTTTCAATAGAACTTAAGAAAAGAGCTTTAACCATCTAATCAGATCAAATCATTTTATGAGTGACATAGCATCACAATAAATTGAAGTAATAACAGGATCTTCAAATGAACATATTCCAAATTACCCTAAAAAGTTCAAAAGGTCTTCAGGGAGGGAAAATGCTGGAGATTGTCATTCAAGGAGTGACAAATACATGTAACAGGAAGGTTTTAACCTGCAAATTCTAGTATTTCAGATTTGAAATGGCCAAATATAAAAAGCAATAGTATCTAGTATATTTATGTTATACTTTCACAGTGAAGTGTTTACTTATGACAGAAAATTAGGGTGGATATTTTCAGTTAAAGAAAATAGAATCTCACTTTTCCTTTAAATATATATGTAAAATTGTGCTATAAAACACAAGAGAAGGGAAGATTTAAGAGGACAAATAATTTTACTTCTTTAACTGCAATAAGGAGATCTACTTCTTGATTAATCCCTTCCCTCTCTCCCAGTTTTTTCAGGTTTCTTTGAAATAAATGTCTCTTACACATCTCTTGTCCAAATGGGTACTGGTCAATCATGAAAAATCAAGGGACTGAGAGGTGAGGATCATTAAGGATCATTTCTTCTCTCTTCTTTATGGCACAGACTGTGTTCAGTGTATGCCAGTTATAGCAAACTTGAACAGCGTGTTTTTGGCAAAGGCATTGGCTAAATGCAACAACTGTTGTTGAAGTTTTCCTGTTCAGCATTGTGTTTAATCTCCGTCACTGTGAAATCTTAGCAAGGTCCACTGTGTCTAGGGAAGCCACAATATCTAGGGGTGCACTCATATGTTCAAGAGCTATTTTGCTAAGTTTTAGAACTGAAATTGTGACTGCTAATGATTCTTATTTTTGTGATTGAGTCATTGAAATGTTCCCCAGATTTTTGATTTAACACTAAACATCTTTTTTTTGGCCTTGGATATATTGAAACAGTTAAGCTTGTGGATGTTAGTCCAGATGGAATTGAAACCAGATTTTTGAGGCAAGGAGTCTAAAGTAACAAATTATTGACATATTTAATTACTTCCACCACAGTATAAAATATTGGACAAATAAGTAATATAAATTCACAGCTTAGCTAGCTTTTGGAACAAAGGGAGGCCATGAATACTTTATGGTCAAACATGATATCTAATCACTCAACTAGCAGTACTTTGCTTAAAACTGCAGATGTAACTTTTTTTATTTTATTTTTAGATTAAATTTTATATTACAGTGTTGGTTGTTTTGTGTGTTTTTTTTTTTTTAAATATTATTTTTCTTTTGATGATCAAAATTTGGATGATTTCTTTTGTTATATGAATTATCTCTTATTACAGTCTGACATCTATTGTTATGGGGTGGAAATCTACAGAAAACTTGGCTTAAGTTATGCTGCTGTAATGGCTTAATTGTTATTTAGAACAGAAAATGGCAATGTTGGTAGATCAAAGTCTTCTCAAAACTAAAATGAATTCCTCGGATACTCCAGAGGTTTGTATCCACATTGGATCATATTATCTACAATTCTTACAATAATCATTTTATGTCTGTCTATAAACATAGAGCAGATGCAGGTTTCCCCTTTTCTTAATGCCCTTATGTATCCAACATCAGGAGGGGCTGGCTTAGTCAGTTTGCATAACTTTCTGCATCTAGCAGATAGCATACTGCTTTTTTAACCCATTCAAGAGCTGGTCTTTTGTTTGGTAAAAGCTGGTGAGAAATTCAGTGCATTGTCCAGACAATACAGAACACCAGAACTTTGTTCTGCAGAGTGGATCTCCTTTTTCCTTTGAATTAAGGGACGGTATGTTATGGCATAACTCTTTCCCTAGTTACGACAAATTTCATTTCCATGTGGGCTGCTCAATTAAAGGTGTGTTTGGAATCAGGTTTAGAGGCAATAGCCAAAGGGGATGTGCAGCAAGAAAGGCTTGTTGCACCAGCTAGAACTGGGAGAGGATTCCTGCTACTTTTTTTTTAAATTATTATTATTTTTTTTTAATTTTATTTTTTTCCAGGCTATCTTCTTAAGAGCTGCAGGATGCAGAATAGGAAATTGACTACATTTTTGTGGCTTACACAAATTGTAATTGCTCTCAAATCATGCGTTATTTTTGAAGAGGCTCAAGGAAAACAGTGTTTCTCCTTTGTGTGTTAATGAAGAAGATACACAACCAAAAACATTTTTACATAAAATTCTGTATTTGGTACTTGATCACAGTAAGGAATATTTCCTCTGCTTGGTTTATCACCTGTAGCTTTATGTGACTATGTCTCCAGCAGATTTGTCTCAGTTATGCATGAGCTACAGAGGTACAGAAATAAGAATGCACTTGAAAGTCTTTATCATGCCCTTATGTTAGTTAACTTATGGAGGGAAGAGGCAGGAAATGCAATTTTTCCCACATTTTTCTTCAGAAAGCCAATAATTGTCTCCCATTTATATTTAATTGTTGATTTCCTTAGTGAAATTGGAGGTGGAAACTCAATAAAAAGAAGTTTTCAACCATAACACTAATATATGTGAATCTTTTGTTGGAAACCCAAATACTTCATTCTGAGGTTTTAAGTGAAACCACAAATAGTTCTAAAAAGAAATCCCTCTGCCCTGAATATTTCTGCTTAATGGCAAATCTTCGGTGGAAATCCTTGTTCAGGATAAATAAAATAGCATTTAGTTTTTTTGGTTGTTCCATTTTCTAGTTTATTTTTTTTTTATTTTTTTGGTTGTTCCATTTTCTGAAGCAGCTCATATCACATAATTTACTTTAAAAAAAAAAACAAATGGGAACTTTATGAACAAAATCTAGAATATGTGTCAGATATTTATACAAAATAATTTATATGGTAGTATATTTAATGATATCATAGAAATTTCATAGGCAGTTGGTCAAGCCCTATGCAGTATGAAAATATACATTGCCGCAAAATAAATACTTTTTAGAAAGCTAATCAGTGAAATTTATTAACATTCCAAATATTAAACACCATTCAAACTAAACAAAAATTCAGGTACCATAACTCAGAATAAAGGATGAGAAGGAATATTCTTAAAAACTTGGTACAAAGCTACACTTGTACACACACAAAAATCTGGGTTCTGCACCATACTCTTCTTCACATAAATTAATTACTACAGTGACAAATTACTAACAATGGAGAAAAAAAAAGGCATATAATAAAATACAGCCATAGAAAATGAAACAGAATTTTGCAGATATGAGTTCTGACACTCAGGAATCAAAGGAAAGTAATTGTTTCATTTTATTTGAGAGATTTTATTTATCTATTTATTTATTAAGGATTCAAGACAAAAATTACATTTATTCAGCTAGGGGATGAACAGCTAGGGAAAGCTGTTAAAAATAATTGCAACTAGAGTTATTTTGCACTGTCTCCTGAGAGATAGCTTAGATATACTGCCACATATATTTTCTGTACACAGAGACATGCATGGGAAATACGTTTGCATGTATGAGACTGCTGCCTGAATATGGTATTAGTTATTGTAGGCCACCCACTACAACACCACATTGAAGTAACTCTTCACCACCAGCAATGATTCAGTTAACCTTTGATTAAACATAGGAATTTAAACTATGAAAAGGTCTGAAACCTGACACAGTCCTTTGACACCATGGTGTCTGTCATTAAAGATAACCCTGCATTAGGTACTGATTTCTGAAAATAGAATTAAACTACCTTGGTTTTCAGTCTTAACCCTCCACATTACCAAAGTAACCCTGCTGTGTTAGGAGTCTTCCTGAATTACTGGTTCTCCTTTTAAGCCTGTGTGGGAAGCACAGGGGCCAGTGAGCACAAACCGGGAAACCAGTCACCAGCAAATGAAATGACTGCCTGGGTCAAAGTGATCAGTGGACCACAGAAGAAGGAAAAATAATAACAATAATAAAAAAAAAAAGACATCAAAATAGACAGGCAGACATTACTTTGCTTTTTTTTTTTTTTTTTTTTTTTTTTTCCCTTCCTCATCAGATCATCACCAACAGGCAGCACCACCTCTGCCTAATCTTCTCACTGTGGAGATTGTGTTCTGTCTTGTGTTCCTGGTAGGTAAGGCCTCTTTGCGAGCTTTGTACGTTTTTATTCCGTTTTAACCACTACATTTTGTTCCCTTCTTTCTCTACGCTGTTTATCCAAGTTGCTGAGAAACCTCAGTGGGAGTCTCCTGATATTTCCTCAACCTGCTGTTCTTTTCCTCTGTGCTTTGTTTTAAACACTGGCAAGCAGTGACATGGTTTCATTTTGCAGTGGTTATGTCTCACCTGGATATACAAAAGAAAATAGAGATGTCAGAGAAGCACAACTCAGAAGCAGGTTTCCACTGGAAAGTAACGTGGGGGGGATCCAAAGTTCATTGCCTATGAAATAAGAGAAAGTCTTTGGATTTACACCATTTTTGAGAAATTGCCCATTATTTTTTTGAGTAGGTCATTTGCTACAACTGAGCTGGAATAAACTGGATCTTGGCTGGGAATAGCCCAGCGACTGAATGTGCTGCAGAGACAGCTTTCACACCCCTAATCACCAGCAACACCGTCGAGGAGCATCACCCCATGACAAAACTGATTTTGGAAGTACAGTAATCATCTGGTCTGAGCAAAGCAAAAACTGGCCGACTGCAGATGAGTTCTCTAAACATGAGAACTGACCAGACTCTACAGGGGACAACACCCTCCCTAGCTTTCTCCAAGTCATGCCTATGAACCTGGATGCTGGAATTCCCACCAGCCTTTCAGCCTTTCCAAGCCATTGGCAAATAGTTACTAACTTTTAGAAAGAAAGACCTTCTTTTACCCCAGCAGAAGGCCATTGTCAGCCCATACTTTTTTGACAGTGCACACAGGAGTTTCATATCCTTCAACTACTCATAATAAACAACAAAAAAAAAAAGCTTTTTTTTTTTTTGTCCATGATGTATGGGCACAGGCCCCATAAAGTCTTCAAGTGGCACCTACTTCACTTTGTTCCAAGTGGCTGTAATGCAGCTGCAGTTTCCTCAAATTAAAGCCCATCTTGCATGTCTCTCTGTAGCTGAATTTCTAGTTCTTCTTTGCAGGTATCATGTGAAGAAACAGCCCAAAATTAGCAGAATGATTAGTTTCAATGGGACTGTTGAAAGTTTCTTTCTGAAGGGAGCTGTTTCTGGATCGTGCCCACATTAGCTTTTACACATGCATTTACAATAGGAAAAAAAGTAATAATAAATAAAAAAGACAATCTAAAGAAGCTTCAGTTTAAAGCTGAATGTAACAAGGAAAGACGGCAGGGGTTGACATGACTCCCTCAGGGATATCGCCTTTATGGAAGGAGGAAGGTGCAATCTTACCCTTGTCAGTGAAGCTTATTTCACAGGACTGAAAAGGGCATTGCATTTTGGCAGGGTCTTGCTGGCTGAGTATTAGTGATGTTTATTGTGTAATCATCGTTTCTGATAACAATGTGCAGAGCACTAAATGGAGATAAATACTTTGGGATGCATTGAGTAACCTGATATTTCCTTGTGGAATACCAAGTTTATCCCATCAATGACACTAATCTCATAATTCACTTACTGAGCACTAAAGATTTCTTTTACAAATTAGATCTGTTTGATAATCCACTCAACGTTTTGACATACTTAGTATGTTGTTGTTCATACTCCTTCCTGGATAACAGTTTAATATGGTGATTTGTAGATGACAGCAGGGGAGTCAGAAGGACGGATACTTGAGCTGAGTTTCCCCACGTCAGTTCCACGTCAGTTCCATGCAGGAACCTGGTGAACATCAAAAGCCTAGTTTTCCTTGCCTTGCAATTTTTTGTAAAACCCTCATTGAGTGTTATTTCTGACAAACAGTGCAGAAAGAAATAATACCAATTAGCCTTTCTTGACTATATTTTAGTGGAAAAAAAATATTATTTTAATTACATTTTGTTCTGGGTTAAAAACCCCAAATTCAGAATCCATTTTGATAGACACTGAACCTGAACCAAAGTGCTAGGAGATAAGGACATCAAGAGACAGTGTTAAAACCTGTGTTTTAAGCGTATGGCCTTAGTATGGATAGGGTATGAATAATTTAGTCTCTGTTGAAGTAGCTTCTTGGCTGTCAATGCAGCCACAAATGTTAGTTCCCTAAAATGGGTTTACATTGACTTAATTACCTAAATTCCCCTGCCCGTGGTAGGAATTTAGACACTAATCCCACAATTATAGATCTCCAGCTAACTTCTGCCTGAACTGCACCCAAAGTTTTCATTCTGTGAATGGCCCAGAGAGCAGGCTTGTTGTACATTAGGCCATTCATTTTCTCTTATTCATTAGGTGTGACATGCACTGAAAGTGCTGGTTCCCAGATACACTCTTAAAAGGGTAGACAGCTGGCAAATTTCCCATTTAAGAAATCTGTAGCAGTTTTGGTCTCTCTACACCAATGTAGCATTAGGATTTTTTATAAGGCAACAATCTGACACAGAGAACTATGTCCTCAAAACATTTCAGTGTCTAACTTGTCTAAAGGGGAAATGTCTAAACAGACAAAAGCATGTAAAATCATTCTGCTGATTTGGACCCCTTTAGATTAGTGATCCTGAAAACGGTTGTTTGAGTTAGTGCGGGATGTGGAGGCTGAACTCCTTCATGGCAAGAGATTCTTCTGACCAGAAGATGAAAAGTGGAAAGAAGGATAGTAGTCTCGTTTTCACCCTGGGGCCCCAAGCTTCCAGATTGCATGCAGAGCTGACAAGAAGTCCCATGGCCCAGCTACCGGGAAAAATGGTTCTTCAGCCATAAAGCCTCCATTCAAAACAACACTCCTTTTGGCACATGCTTCATAAGCCTGTTTTAGAGACAAGATGCTCAGACTGAAACCTGCACTGTGCATGTAACAGCACTGGGTCCTCCCTGCTGTACAACAGGAACTGTGCAAACCTGGATGTGGAGCTGGAGCAGCTCCTGAGCAGCCACGAGCACATTGGTTTTCATACGTGGTGCTTGTGGCCTGCTGATGAAGTGGCTTCCAGTTTTGTTTCATCTGTGCTCTTTTTGTCCTTTCAGAGCTGCAAAATTCACGCTTTTGAAACTCAAAGTGGACAAAAGGGTGCAAACAACTGGACTTCTCCGGCTTTCTAAGTATTGATTTACTTCTGGTTTCTGTAAGAAAATGACATGGAGTCCTAATATCTAAGGTTATCTGTGGCCTTCTGACCTGTGAATGGTAACCTCAGTGCGACTCTGGTTCGAACACTAGAAAGTGAAAGGTCAGAGAAACAAGATAGTTTATGTAGGGTAACAGGATTAGCAGTTTGGGCTGCTCTGGAGAAATTAATTTGAACCATCTTATGGCAAATATTACTCAGGTGCACTTAACAGAAAAAAAGGATTGTTGAACTCTTGAAAAGACAGTGGTCTTGTATTGCTAAGTATGATTCCAGAGTAAATAAAAGTACAAAATGAACTGATGATTTGGAGAGTTAAAACATAATATTATAAGGATATATTTTAATTTC